TCTGTGACCCAAAGAGGTAGGGCTAATGGCATCCAGAAGCTATGAGTGAAGCACAGCAAAACACGTGTTTGCTCCCCTTGCATGCTGGAGATCAAATGTAAAAATCCCTGGAACCAAAACCTAACTCAGACAAACTAGACTTGGCTATCTGTCATTTACTGCACTTGGGCATGGTGCCTGCAGGGAAGGGGGTTAAAGAATACTGAGGACAAACGTCATCTTCCTTGCAGTTTTTCAGGACTAATGACTTCTCTCTTCCTTCCTCTACCCATTCATCTATCTCCTAAACATTTGTTGAGCACCTACACTATGTCAACTTACCACGAGCAAAGGAGATACAAAGATAAATAAGATACCACTCAAGAACTCAAAATCAGGTTGGGGAATTAGACAGCATGGACTGTACGACTGGTCTTTCCAGAAATGTCCAGACAGACTTTTTCCCAAGATGCCCAGAGTAGGATTAGTCTATGTATCATTTTGCTATGTAGAACTAAGGTCAATCAAGCCCCTTTGGGTCTCCAGATAAATTATCATATCCTGAAAGAAAGCAGGTTACCTAAATTTAGAAACCTTTCCAGAAGTAACCTTTTAACAGAGAAACCTATTTTAAGACAGAGCAAACATTTACAGACAATGTTTTCCATATTAAGTCATCCCTCATTGACATGAGATCCCCTTCTCTGTGATGCCTCAGGACCCATCCCATTCCTTGGCATGGATATAAATCCCCAATTTTTCCCATTTCCTTTCTCCATGTGTAGCTATTAAATTTGTTCTTTTATTCTACTAATCTGTCTGGTGTTAATTTGTTTGCTCCCCCCAGTCCTAGAAGAACCCGGAAGAATAGGGGAATTTTCTCCTGCACCCTAACACCAGCCCTCTGCCTCTTAAAAAGAGCTATTACAAAACAATATGGAAATTGTTTTGAGAAATTCAAAATGTCTTGTGAGGCTCTAGAGGATGAAAAAACATCAATGATAGAGAGTAAGGGAAGACTTTCCAGAAGGGATATAGGGTTTTTAAAACCAAGCATTTCACTCTTCTTGAGCTTATCATGCTATTCATACCCACCCATCTCTGTGGTAGGGAGAAAGTTATTGCCATTCTACTCAAGAATCTTGCAGTTCAAAAGGTGGGCTAAGTACCAGGACCATCCCCATCACCTCACTATTAGAAATGCAAAACTTTAGGCCAACTGAGAATCTGCATTTTAACAAGCCCAGATGATTCATAGATGCATGAATGATTTGAGAAGCACTGTCCTAGAAGATGAGGGCATCTCAGGAAATAACTTTTCCACAGTCAGCATCCCTCACCTGAAAAGGACAGCATTCACTAACTACATGGAACAGTTCCCAATATTTTTGTTCCCAGGATCTCTCTATATTCTTAAGTTATTAAAGACACCAATGATATCTGCTTATGTGACTTATAGCTATCAATATTTACCATACTGGAAATTAAAATGGTGAAATATTTGTTAGTCTATTTTAAAATAAATCTCTATAAAGAAATAGCTGTTATGCAAAATAACCACCTTTAAAAAAAAATAATGCCATGGATTTACATATTGGCAAAAATTTTTAACATCTGGCTTAATAGAAGGCAGATGGATTCTACTGTGAATTCATGCAGCCTTGTAAACAGGAGGGAAGGTGCTTTACCACTCCCTACCCAAGGCTATAGACATTCTGTATAAAATGCATGATGAACAAGAATCTCTAGGGTCTTTTCAACCATCAGACACATATATCTGATATTTAGTAAATGTCCTAAACTTGGAATTGTCTTAAATTAAAAAGAATAAAACTGTTCCCTATCGTTAATCCCTAAGAATCCTGGCTAGTAGTTGGCACATATGTTAAAGAGATCTCCAAAAAAAGGAGGTTCTACATTTAAGATTGAAAGTTCATTAAATTATGTTCTTCTGGAACATGTTCCAAAATTTTTAAAAAGATTTATTTATGCATACAAGAGCTGGGGTACAGGCTAGAGATGTGAGAGGTGAGAGGATCTACCAGAGACAGAGTGGGGAACAGAACAGGCAGATTGACTGAAATACACTCCTGAGGGGAGCAGCAGGCAAGACAGGAGAGGTCTGCTGTGCCATGCATGTGGGTATCTCCCTAGCCGACCGAGGATCGAACTCATGCTGCAGAGGCTTCAGAATGTTTCATAATGCAGTGCTTAATCCCTTGCGCCACCAGGGAGGCCCTGTTCCTAATTTTATAAAAAGGAATTCGAGGCCCAGCAAGATGCCCATTTATTAACATGGAAATCAACATACCAACTTCACCAGCATGGTGAAAGCACTGGAGAGAATATATGTAGAGTATATGTAGAGTGGTTAATATCATCTACTGAATGACAATAGAAATTACTAGATACAAAACTGGGTTGGACTGAAATGATAGCCCCGGATTTCTCAGAGAGGTACTTTTCCGCCAGGTACTGTACAGTACCTCCTGCCAACCCACACCCAAAAGCTCACCTCCCATCCCCTTTTCATATCTTTGAAGCTGTGACAGTAAGACAGGAACTACCTTCTTCAACTACTTTAGACGTGTTTTTTCAACTTGTTTGTTGCAATGATTTTTCGTTCTCTAACAACAACAAAAAAAATTCAGGTAAGGGAACTCTCAGTATATGAATTCAGGTAAGGAGAAAGGTCTACTTTTGGGAAATATTAGACTGAGAAATTACCATGCATAATGACCAAACCCATTGGTAACTATTTGTGAACCTGGAAATTGTTTTGGAGGGTGTGATGTCACCATCAGCATTTAAACCCTCTGTCATCTAGTTCTTACCTCTGTGCCTTATTCTCCCTGTGCGACTCACTAGACTTCAAAAATTCAAATACCTGTCTTTCTGTAGATCTACCACTCCTCCTCTCATCATTCCTACCACCACCCCTCCTTCCACTTGTGGACAGAGGAACAAAATAGCCACTGATCAGCAAGCTCTGGGGATGGACGGGAGAGAAGGAAGAAGGCAGCCAGCCACCCTGATCCATGTTCAGCTGTGAAAATCGCCAAGGCTCAGATTTACAGAATTAATCACGACGATGCTAGTGGAGAGGAAGTGGGTCTTTCTCTACCCACCTAGGTCCATATGACTGGAAAATAATTAAATTGACCCAAAGAGAAATTAGTAAAAGACAAACTTATGTTTGTCACACGCATGCCGTTTTTACATAGAATGATGGAATTTATAGCTCATGCAGTGAGGCTATACAGTTTCTAGAAAGGTAAAAAGTTTGGGATGAGACACAAGAAATTTTGCAATTTAAAAGGTTTGCAGGGTTATCTACATAGGCACTGAAGACAGACCTTGCAGTGAGATAAGGCTGCCTCACACCTCCAAGACTACCTCAGAGAATACTTATTTCCTGATTTTAGGGAGATAATTAGACCCAAAAACATCATTGTTGGATCTTCTGTCTTTCAATTTCTTTTATTTCAAAATAATCAGCATGTCCATCAGGCATACCCTGGGGCAGTCTGTCTTAGGCCCTTAGAGAACTAACCTAGAGTAAGAGGGGCTTTTCTCTCGTAAAGTCTCATCACTCATGGGAACTTATGAGAAATGACCCTACCATCACCTGAGCTGACAAGCCCCAGATGTTGCCAACCACCCCCACCTCACTGAAATGGCTACTACTAACAATCACGCCTCCCTCCCCGACATGGCTGTCCTGCCTGCCCTGCAGGCCCTTGGGCCAGGGGACTGGGCTTCTGCCTCAGCCAATTTGAATGCATGCTGCCTATGAGACTTCTTGAGACTCTCTCAGCTGCTGCATTAAAAGTGCATGAGTCTTCCTCAGGAGGCCTGATAATAGCACATTTCATCTGTGAGCCACTTTATAAACATTAACTTATTAAGACACCCTCTCTCCTCACAAGCTCTAGGCTTCTACATAGTGACTTCATTATCCCTTACCCTCAAGTTTACTGAAAGAGGGGAAAAGCTGGGACCTCAAGGATATTTCCTGCGTACTTTAGGCCAAGACAACAATAATGCCAAAGGCCTTTCAATAACAGCCATCACTTGAGTAATGACATAGAGGGGGGTGGTTTTAATCCATGTTGACTTAAGAGTCTGAAGTGAGGTTTTCATCTCCCAAGGCCAGATTAGCAGAAAAATAAACTTAACGCCATGATCTAGTGCAGGTCCTTGAACTACAGTCCATGTGACAAATCCAGATTGTCAACCTGCTTTGATAGAGAAAGCTTTACTAAACTACAGTCCTACTACTCATTCATCAACCTCTTATCTATGGCAACTTTTGTACTACAGTGTAAGTTGAGTGGTTGCTACAGAGACCAAATGACCCACAGTGTTCAAAAATTGTTACTGTCAGGCCTTATTGAAAAAGTCGTTGGGGCCCTCCCTGGTGCCACAGGGGTTAAGTCTCAGCACTTCACTGCTACAGCCAGAGTTTGATCCCCAACCAGGGAGCTAACCCACATATGGCACAGCAGACCTCTCCTGTCTAGCCCACTACTCCCCTTAGCAGTGTATTTCAGTAGATCCACCACCTGTTCTGCTCCCTATGCTGTCTCTGGTGAAACCTCTCACAACCACCCCCACTTCCCTGGCCTACACCCCAGTCCTTGTAGGCATAAATAAAAATAAATCTTTAAAAAAGAAAAGTTTGTTGACCTCTGGTCTAGGGAACTTAAAGTTTACGCTCTTCCTGCATTTCCCTTGAATATGTTTAATCAGATTCCTCTCCTCTTCAGGCCTGTTTCCACTGAGGCTGAATAGCCTCCAAACTGCTCTCCAAATGAGCCATCACCCTGGTTTGATTCTTCCATTGTTGAATATGTACTAGCATCTAATGTTAGTTTTGTCTTGTGACAGCTGACTTCTTCGGCAGAAAGAGTTTGTATGAGTGGTGAAGCATCCTAGGTACAGGGCTCCATGCTGAGCCCTACATTCATTTATGGAGAATAACGGAAGTGACTTGAATTATGTGTCTTTTTATTTTGCAGAGAGATCTCACAGAATGATGTCTTGGAAGTGATAGAGGCCAATGTGTTCTCCAATCTGCCCAAGTTACATGAAATGTAAGCAAGAACCTGCCAGGTTTGCTCATGACTGTTTTTGGCAATAAATAGCCTGAAGGTTCACTTATATTCCTGGGAGGCCTAGCTCTGCTCAGTCCTCAAAGCCCTAGAATTTATTTTAAGATGTTGTGGGATCAGTCTTCTCAAGAGTTTCAAATAGGCATTTCCCAAGATGTCCAGAGAAGACCTTTTTAATATGTCACCTTGGCCTGTGGTAGTAAGATAAATTGAGACTGCTACAATTTCTTAAAGAATGCAGGTTACCTAGATTTAGGGATCTCCCCAAAACCTTTTTATCAGAGAAATCTATCTTAAGACAGAGCAAAGGTTTTGGGAAATGACATAGGTTGTGTCATATGACATCATCTTCCCCTTGTTATGTGATATCCCTCCTTGATGCCCTCAGCCCATCAGTACAGGAAACAAACCCCCAGCTGTCCCATTTACTTTAGAATCTACAGCTATATAAGTTCTCCATGAGTATGTCATTAAATTTTGACTTTTTCTCCTGCTAACCTGTTTGATGCTAATTTGTTTGTCTAGCCTCAAACATACTCAGAAGGGAAAATTTTCCCATGTCCTAACAAGGTCAAAGTCAGCTCCAAAGGCACCATCATGTGTTCCTCTGCCAGGTGGTTCAGGCATCATAAGCCCAGAGCCTAGTCTTATCTTGTTCCCTCCTTCCCAGTAATTTTTGCTTCTTAGACCTAAAAACCTTGCTGTGTAATCCGGAGCAAGTAGCATTATCTCATCCTCTCAAAGTTATTCCATAGTCAAAGCCCAAAACAAGTATCATGTGATGGAGCTGAAAACGGGCAGTCCTAGTTTGAATACTAAATAGGACATACACTCTCCATGATACCTTGGCTGAGATACAAATTCATTCTAAGACTTAATTTTTTTATCTGTAAAACTGGAATAATGAAATTGCATGCCTCATAGGATCACTGTGATGAATAAATGAGATAAATGTAAATTAGATCTAACACATCAACTGGCATAAAGTATTTCATAATGATACTTGGTTCCTCAACTCCTCCAACCAAATTTTCTTTCTCTTGTTGACATTCTAGTTTTACATACTTGTTAATACTCACACATGTCTGTTTCATACCTGCCTATCATTATCATAAATATATAGACTCATAGAATACCAAAATCAGAAGGGACTTTAGAGACTGTCTGGCCCAGAATTTTCTAAACTATATTTTTGGTATCATTAAATAATCAGGAAATTAAGCGTTTGTTAAAAATAAAGGGGAAAATATTCTGTGGCCAAATAAGATTAGGAAACATTAAGCAAATAGTTAGATAAATGTACTCACTCTGGGAAACATCTCAGAGCCTGTAAAATGCAAATACACACTTGAAATCTCCAAGGATGTTGTATTACGTGTTTCTCAACTCATGTCACTGAAAAGGTTTCTTCTGTGGAGCACTGATTAACATCTCATAAAATTCCCATGAAACACAGTTAGGGAAGTTAATGAACCACTTTCCTAATTTTACAAGTGAGAAATGAAAGGCACAGAGAAGTTTTGAGGCTTATCTGAAGTCATCCAGCCAAATCCACAGTAGAATGAAAACTTGGACATACATCTCTTGACTCCTATATCTTTTTAAAGGGTATTTAGCAACTTGCTAAGTATCAGTAGGAAATATATATGCGGACATACACACACATGTATATACACGTCTCCATATATGCGTTCATGCACACACCTACGTACACAACTGTGTTTAAGAACCACAGTGTCTCCACTCTGGATGATGTCCGTACGCTTCCTCATTGTCACTAAGTCTCTACAACTGATTCCTCCTCCTTTTTACCCACTGCTTTCAGGTACCGTCCTTCTCTTACTACTTGGCCTCGCCATACCCTGATTGGGAAGAGACCTGGCTGGGGCTTCAGACCCCACAGGGAATAGCAGAGGAATGAACCAAAGGGCATCAAGTCTCTGCACAGGGCCAAGCAGGCGTCCTTCTATGCAGTTCAGTGGGCAGTGGAGCTAATGGGATGGCCCTTTCATCTCTTCCCTGCCTGGAGAGGTGCTCACCCCCATGTAGCACTGACTGTACTTAAAATGATTAATTGCCTAGTACTTGGATCTGGGTAGCTACAGGTTACAGCAACATAAAAGCTAATGAAACAGGGAGGAAGTAATTAACACAGAGCATCTCTGCAAATATACATTGATCCAGCGAGATGAGGAAAGGGCAGCCTCTTTCTGTTGGAATCCAAATGTGAACACGCTCACGTCCAGCGACATAGTGCAGTTCAACGCAGGGCAGAAGTCACCACTTCCCACAAGCAACCTCAGTCTAGAGGGAATTACTGGCACATTTTCACCTACTGTCCGCTGGGATCTCATGGTCAAAACCTGAGTCAGCCACTATTTTTCCTATCTCTTCCCTCTCTGTCTCTAGCTCCTTAGTCCTGCAAATTCCACCCTTCCTTATCTTCTTCTTGCCCTCCTTTGTTGTTTTTCACACCCTTCTCTTAGTTTGAGACCAGACAATAGTATCTTGCTTCCCATATTAGTTTTGCTCCTTTTCTCTTAGCCTCCTGAGATCCTGGGAGACACTTACTGGTTAAAGACGCAGCCATGCATGCCCACGGTGGAAATAACTCACCCACCTTGCTTCATTTGCCTTTGTAGACAGGTCCCAGAGGACTTTGGTGGTAAGAGTTAAAGGGGACAGGGCTAATATTTAGTTTGCACAGTTTAGTATAGTGCTTTTTACTATAGTTTAGTAAAAAGTTTGCACAGTTTAGTATAGTAAAAAGCACTGCATGCAAACTCAGTATTTGTTGAATTGATGGGTCGATGATTTATTGATAGTCTTTGCATAATGTGAAAAATATTGCAGTGTTCCTTATTGCTGAGCTCACTTGCCCATTCTTTCTTTTTTACAGTAGAATTGAAAAAGCCAACAACTTGCTGTACATCGACCCTGAGGCTTTCCAGAACCTTCCCAACCTCCGATATTTGTAAGAGCTTATGTATTCTAGTGTCCCCTCTGTGATCAAATTGTGTGTTCCTATTTTAGCAAAATGTCCACTCACTACTCTGGGGAACAATTACTTTTTATCAAAGATGTAGAGCAGAAGTGGAGATGAGGACCCACTTGCAAGTAGATTTTAGTTTAGTTTAATGAGTGAATTTCACTAATATAATTGCATTTTGTTTTCATTTAAAAAACAGACTTCATAAGGAATGCCATTTGCATTAATAGGATTGTCACACAGACCTCTTAGAGAACCCAGTCATAATTTAGTGTTAATGAGATACAGCCAGAATTTCTGCTAGCATTTAGCTTGTGACCTTGACCTCAAAGACATTGTTGCTCTTGTTCTGCATATGTACATTTTTCCTCTGATAGATTATTAACCAAAATTTACACTATAAAACACTATAATCCACATGGCATTTTATCTGCCAAGAGATTCCTAGTGTTTGAACTCCATCCCTCAGCCCTGTCCCAACAGCAAAAACATTGCTTCCTCTACTCCACTGGCATTCAAGTTACTGAGGGCTTGACAAAGCCTTGAGGACTGTGATGGTGTTCCACAAAAATAACAGATATGATTTAGGGCTCTAGAGTCAAATGTTTTGGGTCCATTTATGAGCAACTAATCACAAGCAAGAATGTAACTTTGAAAAGTTTGTTTCCTCATCAAAAGAATAGAAATAATGATGATGGATGTGAACAACAATAATGTATCACCAACTAGCCCCAAAGAACAGTTTTAAAGTAACAACTATTTATCATCTTTCATCTATCTGTGAATTGATCAGTGGAAAGGTTTTTCTGACCTGGTCTCTATTTGAGCTCAGCTAAGCACTCATGCCTCAGCAGTTAGTTGCAGGTCAACCGGGGGGCTGGCTGCTGGTGTGGTCTCGTTGGGATGACAGCTGTCCTCCAAATGGTGCGCATTTCCAGCAGGCTAGTGTGGACTTGTTCTCACAGTAGCCTCAAGGTTTCAAGAGAGCTAGAGTTTGCAACTCTTTGAGATCCAAATGCTATCTCTTCTGGTGCATTTTATCAGCTAGATCAATTGATTAGATAGCCCAGATCAAAAGAGAGAGAGAGAGAAAGAGACAGACTGCATTTCCTGATGGAAAAAAAATGCAGTCACAATATAAAGTATGTGGATACAGGAAAGAACAGAATGGAGACCATCTCTGCAATCAATTTAAAGCATGTAAAAAAGTTTTGCATACTGTCACCTAAAATGCTCAATAAATATCCCTAGTAACTAATATGACTCTGTTCCTAAATTTTGGTCCATGAGGATTGGAGTTAGGTGCCTTAGTGGAGATTGACTGAAAGAATAACAGATTTAAACAATAAGTATTGGTGAAGATTTGGGAGAAAGAAAACTCTTACACACTGTTGGTGGGAATGTAAATTGGTGCAGCCATGTGTCAAACAAATAAGGGTATTCCTCAAAATATTAATAAAAATACCATATAATTTAGCTACCTCACTTATGAATACTTTTCTGAAGAACACAAAAACACTAACTTGAAGAGATAAATTCACTAATACATTCACTGCAGCATTATTCAGAATACCTAAGAGTAGGCAACAACCTATGGACAGATGAGTATATAAAGATGACATGGTATATATACACAATGGAATATTACTGAGCTATAAATACAAAATCCTGCTACTTGCAACAGCATGGATGGAACTCTAGAAGGTGCTATGCTTAGTAAAACAAGGTAGAGAAAGACAAACACCATATGAGTTCACTCATATGTGGAAGATAAAGAGACAAAACAAATGAAATAAACAACAAACCTTTTGACCATAAGAATAAAATAGATGGAAACTGGAATTCTGGTGGCAAACATAATGTTGCATAAGCAGATGATGATTTAAAAACCTATATGTTATAAATCAATGTTGCTTCAATTTAATAGGAGAGTTCATGATGTAGAACTTCTGCTCTCAATAAGGTCATCCACTGATGATTTAATGTGAGAGGCAGGACCAGCTTCCTGGGCATGCAACCTGCAGTCACACAGGGACCCCACATCAGAGGGCCTCACATTAGGTTTCATTCTGTCCCCATCGGGAAGTGCTTCAATATTTTTGAACAAGCCTTGCCTTTTCACTTTGCACTGTACCCCACAAATAATGGAGCAAGAGCAGGGCTATGTTCTTCTACTTTCAGACTTGGAATCCTGAGTCCCTAAGTGGACTTTGTTATATTCTCTGCAGGACTCCCTGTTTTAGGCACAGTAACAGTGTAGGAAGTATGGGTATCAGTGGGTCTTAGTATCCGAAACTCTAAGGCTTCCTCCTGACTCCCCCATTTGCTCCTGGGCCAATCACCAGATTTCAAAGAGGCACAGGGCTTCTAGGTGCCTCAGATGAAGTTTATATATGTCAAAATATTTTTGACAAAATATTTGACACTACAAAGTGCTCAAAAATGTTAATAAATGTAGTATTTCTGGGACTGTTATTTCTGGTCAACCAGTCAAACCATCAGTCCATCCACACAAAAAGCCAAATAAGGGTTGAAAAAAGAGTTATGGAAGCCAGTAAGGCCCAGAGTATTTGGCCTGAGTTCAAGGAGAGGAGTTTGGGACACGCCTTTACATTTAATGGAGCAGTATACATTTTTTTAAAACGGTGGAAAAATCTACAATGTGAGTACTGGATTGCAAATGGAATACAGACACCAGCTACATAGCTACCTTCTCCAAGACTGTTTCTTAATGCATAAATTGGGTGGTTATGAAAAACAAGATTATACATGTAAAAAACATTTTGAAAGTCATATTTAGTATGCAATATAAAGAATGCAAATATAAAGGAAGTAGCACCTATTACCCATTTCGTTTCCTTATTCCTTTCCCTCCCAACAGCCTCCCTCCCTCCCTCCTCCCGTTATCCTTAGAAAAAGACTGAGTGGGTTACAAGTGCCACAGAATCTTTAGTAACAGACAAAAGCATCTTAAAACATGCAACGAAAACCCCAATTTACAAACTATCCCATATGGCCCAGGAAAAGCCCACCTGCGAGTGACAGATCCAAGAAGACAGCCACCCCCTCACACACATATTCCACAGTCCACGATAACAAGAGTGTGTCTGAGAATACTGGGCTGGGAGCAGGTGAGTGGGGATGATAAAGTTTGAAATCAACAGGTCCAGAATTTGGCCCCCTGTCTTGTGACAAGTACCACGCATTCTTACTGATAAGCACCCTCAGTGCCCCCCTCTAGGGGATGAAGACTGGAAAAGAACTTGGGGGACATAAATGGCAGGCAGACTAGAGGAAGCGGGGAGCTCTGGCAGATCAGAGTGGCCAAAGCTCTGACCGCTCTGAAGAGACTGAAATCTGTCATTTGTCATGGAGTTTAGCCTCCCTTTTGTGTCCTTTTTATCATTCTCAAGGTTTGTAGTCCCCAGTGCCCCCCACTCAGACTGCCTTCCCAATTTTGCCCAAAACTGGAGGTGATAGATTCTAGCTACATCCTTCCTAAGAAGAGGTCATTGTTCTCAGAGCATTGAAGATTTCCTAACTGGGGGAAAGAAAATAATTTGTAAGCAATTTGGAAGATACTCCTTGTTGCTCTGAAAACATTGTATCTACATAATCTATAATGTATATAACTCTTTCCCATCCCTTGCTATGCTGATCACTATCAGGATGTTGAAAGAAAGCAGTGTCTATCAGAAGCTTTTTGATTTATTGCACAGGGTGGACCTTCCCTAGTTGCACGCGCGCGCACACACACACACCCCTCACCCCCACCCCCAAGGATCTGGCTCACGGTACCCCAGGGAACAGGAGCAACTCTGCTCTCACTTCTACCAGCAATACATCTGTTCGGGCTGTGGCCCTATGAAATATTTTCCAAACTAAGAGGAATCACCTACATTCATAGTTGGTCCTCTAATCTGAAAGATGATGTCATAGAAACAAAGCTCAGCTGAGCATCCTTCTTCCTGTCTGAGCAGCAGTCATAAACAGCTTTGCGATCCAGCAGCCAGGTAGAGGTGGATAGCAACGATTTCAGATATTCTTTGGAAAGATGAACTACTTGCTTCAAGGCAAAGAAAAAGCACAAAATGGATGATAGAATCCAGAGGGGAACAGTAGGATGGAGTAGTTGCTTTTTCTTCCTTAAGCCAGGATAAATGTTTATCATCCCAAACATCAGAGCAAGAAATTACCAGGGGTAGGGGTGAGTTGCTATTTGATTTGAGCATCTTAATTGTTCCATGCACACACTTAGAAATATTTTTTTTCAATTATCAGCATTGACTGCAATTCACATTAACCATTTGATGGAACAGAATTCAGGACAACTAGAAATCAGCATCTTGACCACTGCCTTCAGACTTCATGAAGGAAGTGGAAGCAGTTAGGGGGGAAAAAACTCAAATAAAGTAATGTACTTTAACTAGAAGAATATACTTCAAGGGAATCATCTGGGTGGATTTTTTTCAGTCAATACTGTATTTGTAGGCAATATTTCTTTCTTTACTGCTCTGCCTTCCAGAGCTGACCTTTGTGTATGAAAGACTATCTATTGATCTGTAAATAAGGTTTATACAATTTTCTCTTGCCTTTGCATCCTGTCAATGTAATTCTCAGGCAGTTGATACTGCCCTTTGCTACTCAATAAACCATAATTCCATCTTAGCAAACCCTTCATGCAGCTGGATGGGCCCCCACTTCCAACTAACTGCATTCTTCCCACCTCATGTGGCCTGCTGGGTATTTTGAGCCTGCCTGTTAATGACAGTCATGCCGTCTGCTTTCTCCAGGGATAGTTCCAGAAGATTTTTAGTAATTCAAGTTGTTTACTCCCCAGCCCTCTCTTAAGTCCCTCTCTCTCGGTTGGTTTAATATGAGTAATGAAAGTAGCTTCTCTGATGTAAAAGTAGAAGCATTTGTTGGTGATCTCACAGGACGTCGACAGGAGTCAGGGACTCAGGAGGCAGCACAGAGCATTGAAA